TCTGTTAGTTTATGCTAACTGGTGCATCTGTTAGTTTATGCTAACTGGTGCATCTGTCTTAACTACTAATATTAACACACAGGATGGACTGTCTTTAAATCCTTTACTACAGCAAAAGTGCTTATGCCTCACTTTAATCATACTTTACAATAATTGCATTCACAAACTTAACAGGAAAAAGTAGAAAACATTATTAGCATGTGAATTGAAAGTATGCTGCATTCATGGTTTTGTTGTATTTGACTGCTTTATTTATGTTTACAGATGTTTTAACTGCTTTAACTGTGAGAACCACATTCCTATAAAGTCAGCTTCCATGAGCTCAAAAAATAAAAAGTCTTGCTTCAGCTTTATCGCATTTTGCAGCTAATCCAAGGGGTTATGAAATATTTTGTTTAACTTAAGTTTCCAAACCCATGAAAAAGCACCAAATGATCCAGTTTATCACAAACATTCATAATCACCGCATTTGGAAATATCCAGCTTGCACTGGGCAGAAATGGCATGAAAAGAGTGATAAAACTGCATTAAATCAAACCTTAAGTTTGCACTTAAGTGCAGTGATTAATTGTAGCATTGGTCACAGTCCACCACTATCTTGACATAAGCTGCATTTATCTTTTATAGATATGATTTGGTAGGACAGTATAGACATGGTCAGGAAGGAGGCAACACGCTGCTATGTGGTGTGATCTGTAGCCATGAACAAGTCCAAGGTCACAGCTGACTGAAGCCTGTACATTGCATACCTGTACATACAGTCCATGTAAGGCACTATCATAGGTTTTGTTACAAAAAAGCTGCATATTGGTGGTTCTCTTTGCATTACTTCTCCATTATGTCCTTTAAATAAGCATGTCGACAGAAATCAACTTTTCGTTTAAGACTTGAAGATATTGCATACCAGGACACGGTTACATTTAAAATTGGCAGTTTGTATTTCAGAGTCAAAAGTCATTTGTTACAAGAAAAACAATAACAAACAAAAATCTCATCTCTGTTCCCGTGTCTCCACTCAAGCTCATATCAGCCAGGTGAAGGACAACCTCACCAAGACATCCCAACAGCTCATACCTGCCGTGTTCACAAACACATGAGGTAAGCTAGCAGGCAGCAGCAGGACCCTTCCTGTCAGTGTAGCGCTCCAGTCTTTGATCTCCTGACTAATGGTCTCCCTCCTCCTGGCTTTTCATTCTCCCGTTCCCGCTGAGTTGAGTGTCTCAGGTTTTACAGGGCTAAAAGGGTTCAGATACTTAATGTACACGTGGAAAGTTCTGCTTGCCAGTTCACACCATTAATATAATGTACATTTTAAGTATACTGTAAAGCCGCTAAAGACCTCATAGTATCTTAATATGCTAACAGGGCACTTCACTCTCAGACTGCAGGCTAACTTGTGGTTCCTAGGGTATTTAAAAGTAGACTGGGAGGGAGAACCTTCAGCTTTCAGAGCCTTTCTCTTTGGAACCAGCTCCCAGTTTGGAGTCAGGAAACAAACTCTGTCTCTACTTTTGTGATAGAGCTTTTACAGTTAAACCCTCCCTTAGTTACGCTGCTGGAGGCTTCCCACGATGCACCGAGCTTTTCTTCTTCACTTCCTGTGTGCTTTTATACCACTGCTGTACTTACTATTATCAAACTCTGTCTCTTTCTTCCATACTGTGCCTTTTGTCCTGTCTCTCTCTCTGCTCTCTTTTCCCTCCCTTCTGGTTCTACCAGAGGTTTCATCCTGTTAAAACATAGTTTTTCCTTCCCACTGTTGCCAAGTGCTTGCGCACAGGGGTCGTCCAATGGGGTTCTATCTAATATTGCATTGTTATATTGTCTTTACTTTACAATATAAAGCATCTTGTGTTGACTGGCTGATGGGAATTGGCACTATATAAATGAAACTAATTTGAACTGAATTACAGCATAGTGTGGCGTCATAAGGAAGAGTAAAAACATTAAAGAGCCCAGTAACGTGGATACAACCATGTGCCATTCATACTGGATCTGTTTCCAGCTTTGCCCGGTGCGTTCCAGGGAGCGCTTCATGGAGTCCTGACACTCAACCAGCTGGACGAAGCAGTCAGAGACACCATGCGCTGCGGGGGATGCACCGCCAGTCGAGCCTCCTTCATTGGAGCCTGTTTTGGGGCACAGGTACTGTAGGAACATGGTTGTTGGATACGTAAAAAGAGCCATGGGTCACTTATCCAAATTAGTGTATGACTAGAAAAAAAGTGTTTACATTCAACACTGACACTTTTTACATGTTGCTCATTGAAAAGATAAGGCAACATGGAGTAAGTGGATACTGTTGCTACTTTTGTACAAACAAAATCAGCAAAGTCAGAATCGGGAAAAGACATTAACGGCACCTCATACAGCTGTGACACCACCAGAATGTGAAGACATTCAACTGCGAGCTCGTCAGCCAGACGACATTGCATCAATACCAATATTTGCACAGCTGTAGGTGGGATATCACCAGCGTCAGAATAGCCACAAGCTTCCAGCACAGATGTGAGGTATACAGCACTAATGGGAGAAAATATTCTACTTATTTATTGCCATCAAGCACAATCCAGTCCAAATGTATCTACTCTGCAAGAGACATGAAAATCCATCCTTTTTTGCATGTTGTTCTGTGCACTCCTGGAGCTCCTTTGATGAGTTTCACAGTGAGCTCAGATATTCGGAGAGCTTTGTGCTTGCTTGATACTTTCAGCTGTCATCTTGATGTGCTTTCAGACCGGCCTCCGGGGAATCCCAGAGTCTTGGAGGAAGAGGACGCTCAGATACCCTCTGCTGTTGGAGCTAGCTGAAAAAGTGCTCAAAAAGATTCAGTAATCATAGTTCAGTTTTAATTTTTTTGCCCCCATAAATTCATCATCTATGTAGAATTTGTGGATAATTGCATTTTAAGAGACTTTCTCAAGTTGCAGATGTACTTTGGCACAGCCATCCATGACAGTTGCATTCTAAAGTCTTGCGCTGAATGAAACTCGAATCTATTTGCTCGGTCGAAGCTGCATCATGTAAAAAAAATGAAATTAAATAATAACGTTGTATAACCTATTCTCAAATAAAAACTTGTGTTACTGAGACGTTTGTATTTGTCTGCTGTTTGCTTTCCTGCGGAGTGGAAAGTAGGGATTTCCTAATCTCAGGAAGCATGTCTGATGAGAGAGAGTAGTTTTGCTGAACCATTAAGTGGGTTTCTGTCTTCTTACTCCTTTGAGAACTTTCTGTTATTGTGAAGTGAAAGAGCAGATACACTTTACTTACTACTGGAACACGCAGAGACTGCCACTTATTTCTCTCTCACAGGAGCTGTTCTGCCTTCCTGAAAGTGCTGACATTAATATTCACATGTTTAATGCACCCGCCCCAACACTTCTGAAAGTTAGCCAAACATAAGGCAGTGCCAAATCCTTGATATCTTTGACATGGGGTGAGTTTAGTTAAGAAAAAAGGCTGCCGTTGGAGACTCTGGGTTGCTTTTCCAGTCAAAGTTTTACATGCAGAGATTGACTGGTTAACGCAGTCAGTCAATGTATTTAAACTGGTACTGTTTGTTATCTTAGCAAAGAAATAAAGGGAGCTATGTGTGAATTTAAGCTATGTTTCCTAAACACTGACTGCACTAATGTTTGGATGAAGAAATCTCAGAGCCAAGGCTTTGGTGAGTGGAAAGGTTGAGGCTGACTGTGCATTGGTAGCCTGCAAGGGGAAGTCATTTGATGTCTCCCTCTGCCTGACTTCCTCCCACACAGCAGGTAACAGGCTCACTTTGGCATAATCACATCCAGACCTGAAGAGTGTTTTTGTTATTCCAAATTCTGCTTTTGTTAAGATGTTTTTGGAGAAAGGGCTGATGTTTGCAAAAGATATTGTGTTACTGATGGGGTACAGCACATGTGTCAGCAGATTTTATGGAAAAGTGTACTTAACAGTTCTGTGTGTGCACTAATGTGCACTTTACTTTCAGTGGAATTGCAAATTAATTTATAGGAGGCAAATGAGCCTCCACAAACCCAACCAACACCACCTCCTCCTGTTGATGTCAAACATAGAAATAATGTATCCTTAAATAATAATAATAATAATAATAATAATAATAATAATAATAAGAATAAGAATTATTATTATTATTATTATTATTATTATTATTAACAACAATCTTTTGTATTTGTATTTATGGTATAATAACGAAAGATTCACAGAATAGTTTCACACAGTTACCAAAGGCACATGAGAAAGTAAATGGCAAAGGCCTTAAAAAAGAAACTTAACGTGACTTAAAAAAGAAAGTTAGCACCCTGATAAAAACTTGCCCTCGTTAAAACTGAATTCCCCCCATGTCTAGCTTATATTGAAATGTTTACAGAATGAGTGAGAAGTATAAAATGAAAAAGTTGTTATAGTTTAGAAGATAAAAAATAGTTTATTTTTCCCAAAGGCTGGGACATTCCTGTGTTGCAGGAGAAAATTAGAATAAGTAAGTAAAATAAAAGGAAATCGGGCTCAGTTAAATTAAAAAGCAGAATTTAAAAAAAAAGACAAAAAATTTAAAATTCGCTTTTTTTTTAAGAAGTACAAAATCAAAATAAATACAATGGCGGCTAATGTTTCCGTGTGACGTGAATGCATCCAAAGATTACTTGTAAAGCAAGAGAGAAATCTCCTACTCGCTACTGTATTCCTTTGGTCATACGGCGACCTTTGAATATTCAGGGTACTGTTTGGCTGTTAGAACAAAAATCACTTGCTTCAGCAGTTGCATATAATTTCAGGCAAGTGCTGTCCCTCGCATCATCTAAACTGCATTTTCAACGTCCCCACCCATCGTCGTATATTATTATGCGCATTGGCAATATCCACTGACAAGTTATAGAAGGGCCCTGCGACAGACTGGCGACCTGTCCAGGGTGTAGCCCGCCTCTCGCCCTATGACAGCTGGGATAGGCTCCAGCGCCCCCCGCGACCCTGAAAAGGATAAGCGGAAGCGAATGGATGGATGGATGGAAGGGAACAATCTTGTCACTATACTATCTTTGCCTGGCTCAACAGCTGGGTGGAACTTGGACAAAAAAAAGTTGCTTCAATGACATTTTGTATAGTGATGGCTCTTTGAGGGCGAGACAAGCCAGTTGTTAACATTAAGTGTTTATTTTCGCTGCTGTGCCATGGATTTTAATGTAAAACGGCTAGCCGCAGACGCCGGTACTTTTCTGAGCCGAGCGGTACAAGTAAGTCTACTCATTTAGTTCATAGGAATTGTTGCTAGCCAATGTTAGCCACTGTGAGGTAGCCTTAGCTTCCTTGCTAAAGAGCTAACGTTACCGTGATTGTTACTTTGTAGCTTAGCAGTTACACCTAATTGTAACTTAATTTCTATAATTTGCATTGTAGGATGTATTTAAAAAGCACGTGCGTCACCCAGGTTGTGTTAACACTAAGCTATTTGTTCAACTTAACTATCATTGAAGGCCTCAACACCGTCACATGAAGCTATCAACAGCAGCTGGCAGATAGCGCTAACCTTTATTTTCCGAGCTTAATAACGTTGCTTAGCTCTTTACTCTCAGTCGTCTTGTGTGTATCTTTGAATACGTCTGTGAAAGCTACAACTCGCATGCGCAATGTAAACGCATATTTTTTAATTTTTCAGTTTACAGAAGAGAAGCTTGGTCAGGCTGAAAAGACAGAATTGGATGCCCATTTGGAGAAACTTTTGATCAGAGCTGAGAGCACCAAGCAATGGACAGAAAAGATTATGAAGCAGACAGAAGTCTTACTACAGCCCAACCCCAGTAAGATCACTCTTTTTGACTTTCGAAGGACTGACACTGACATCTCTAAGCAGCACAGGGCACCCACCCACACAATGTTCTTATAGACCTGCAACCTGATATTCAGGAATCAGGAATTCCCTGAAGAGCAGCTCAATAAAGATGAAAGATTTGTCGCTGCCACTAAGGCTCACATTAAAAGCTTTACTTCTCAGAGAGGGTGTTTGACTTCCACGGGTATGTAGGGTGCCTGTGAAGTCTGTAAACTCAGCTGTGCATCCTCCTCACTTCACACCATGATGTCGCATCTCTGCAGCCGAACACCAGCATAGGCACAACAAACACAGACCGACCATCTGGCGGTTGCAGTCTTGTGCAACAGTCATAGAAACGGGATTTTACTGTGTTCACGTTAAACACAGCACAGATAATCTTTCACGTGATGTAGTAACATGAAACAAATTACAGCGGTTTCCGAGAGACGCTGGCTTGTAGTTTGTCATAGCTGTCACAATGAAAGCTTTCAGTGTGGGTCTTTAAGTCGGGCTGTCTGAAGCATACTAAAGTCACTCCCTGCATTTGGCTCGCTCTCTGTAGTCCTGTGACTTTGTAATTGAGTTTTCTCCTTGCGCTCTGCAGATGTCCGGCTAGAAGAATTTGTTTATGAGAAACTGGAGAAGAAGGTCCCCACACGTATGAACAATCATGAGCTGCTGGGACAGTCCATGATTGAATCAGGGAATGAATTTGGTCCTGGAACTGCCTATGGTGAGTGCCACGGTGAAACACTGACAAGTACTGGGGCTGTAGTCGATCAAAGACTGTCTTTGCTCAGGGAAAGAAAGTCTGCACATTACCTCCAGATTAAATAAATCAGCTACAGAGCGGCTAGCCCAGTTAGACTGCATGAATTATAAATACGCATAAAAACCTAATATTTGCACCATATTTAATGATTTTCACTTTGTTTTTTGTATTAAAATGGGAAAAGACTTTGAGCCAGGTACTCTGCACTTGCACATAGGCTCATGATATCTGAATAATGCTAATAGGCCTGTCTCAGCTGTGGCTGGATGCATCTGCCGTTAGAAAGCCGATAGACCAAAGCTACTCTGGCTTTGATTTGTTCACTCACAAAGCTTCATACATCAAACAGCAAATCTGGCAGAAAAACCTAAATCATGCCCCAGTTTTCCCAGGTAGTCTGTTCCTTTTCCAGAAATAATTAGCTACTATTGATGGAGATTTTTTTTTTTTGTCCTTCTTAAAGTAATGTTGTTGTGAGTTTAATGAGAATTTGCACAGTCGGAGCAATCAACCTGAGATAACCCCAGTCCTACTGGGAGCACCAGCTGAGCTGAAACTTTGTGGTCTTTATTTCGCTGATTTGAATCTTTAACAAAAAATGAGTTTAAACCCTACAAAGGCAACTAAAAGAGGCCTTATAGCAACTCAGGTCAGAGTAGCTGTTTGATCATTAGCAAGCCTCCTGACATTACACAATGGACAAAAGACTAAAAGAAATTACGGTCGCTCTAGATGTTCAGTTGTTAATAGAATATAAATGCACGATTGACAGTGGGAAGGAAAAACACCCTTTTAACAGGAAGAAACATCCCACAGAACCAGGCTCAGGGGGAGGCAGTTACTTGGTTAGCAGGGAGGGGAGGGAGACAGGACAAAAGACACACTGTGGAAGAGAGCCAGAGATTAATAATAACTACTGGTTACATGCAGGGTGGTGTGAACAAAGAGGAAATGCAGTGCATCATGGGTCGCTCCCAGTAGCCTAGGTCTGTTGCAGCATCACTAAGGATCCAGTCACCTGGTCCAGCCCTAACTATAAGCTTTATCAGAAGGAAAGAGATTTTTAAGATTAGGCTTAAAAATCTAAATATTTCTCAAAACATCATCAGCTTGTTTGGTATTCCAGTATTCTGTCTCATGAAGACGTGTAAAACAGAGTTAAACTCTGGTTTGTTTGCTTTAAAGAACATTTTGATGATTTGAGAACCATCTTCTGCTATTTTCAGTCCCAGCCAGGCCCTTTATCAGTGTCAAGCTGAAACAATATCACCATTCTCCCTCCCAGGTTTTCTGCTGGCACTAAACTTTCCTTTTGCTGCTGACCATTGTAGGAAACGCTCTGATAAAATGTGGAGAGACGGAGAAGCAGATTGGTGGGGCAGAACGGGAGTTCATCCAGAGTGCCGCCATCAACTTCCTGACACCGTTCAGAAACTTTTTAGAGGGCGACTTCAAAACTATTCTGGTGAGTTGGACCCGCAGGCTACCTGTCCTGAATCACTTTCGCTTTTTCCCGGACTTTGACCTTTAAATCTGGATCTCATTCACAACAGTGACGGCTGCAGAGGGTCAACGAGTATAGCTTTAATGATTATAGCCATTATTTTACAAAGTAGTGAAAGATCCTGTTGAAGTCTGTACTTTATGCTCACTTCAGTTTAGAGTCTAGTGTTCAGACTGTCAGGTGTGTGCAAGCCCACACTGTGATTATAGAAAACAAGCCCTTATAATCGTGTTATAATCTAAAGTAAACACCTGATGAATGAAGTAGAAGCCTTGTTTACACTGTGCTGTGTCCATGTGTCGTTTATCTGTGAGACTTTTGTGTTGTGATTTGTGTCCAGAAAGAGAGGAAGCTGCTGCAGGTTAAACGCCTGGATCTGGATGCAGCCAAAACCAGACTAAAGAAAGCCAGGATGGCTGATGCAAGAGCTGCAGTAAGGACACACACACACGCTGATAGAACAGCTTAGTGAATTCTGCTTTTAGTACATTCACTGGCTAACGTCTTCACTGGGGAAGAAAATCTATTGGGCGTGTCCCACTGTCACTCTGTCTGAAGTCACACAAGTACTGCCTGACACACTATGTTACACAACACAAGGCTGACCATTTTATTTCTTGTGACATGCAAAGAGTCACATGAGCCACCATGGGAAGTTTTAGAGTTCCCTTTTCTTAATTTAATCTCATGCTTTGTGTTCATGTTCTTCAGACAGACTGTTGAAACTCTTGATTAAACCAAGTGTGGCAACAAAGCATGTCCTTATTCTGGTTGTGAGGTGGCCAGGTGTGTGGGTGTAGGTGTGTGTGGGTGTGAGGAGCATGTATTTGTCCTTGTACCACATGGTGTGCCACAGTTTGCACGTAAAAGCCTTGTTTAATATGTAAGCTCACTGGCCAATTGATTAGGTACACGTTGTTACTATTAGGTTGGACCTTCTTCTGCCATCATAACCTCCTTAATTCTTCCTGGCAAGCATAAAACAAGGAGCTGGAAACAATCTTCAGAGATTTTGGTCTATAATGCAAATCCACAACATCCCAAGGATGCTAGTTTGGATTGACATCTGATAACTCTGTGTGAGATATGGTACGTTATCCTGAGCCATGTTAAAAAAGGTCACTGAATAGTTTTAATGCTCATTTTAATGCTCTGTTTGAACTTCAGCAAGGCTGTAAGCCATCAGCTATGTGATTGGCTGATTTAGGTTTGTGTTAATGAGTGGTTGAACCTAATAAACTGTCCAATGAATGAAATATAAGTGGTGACGTGTTTAAAAATATTTTATTACATATTCGCTCTTAGTAGAAACTCTTGTGTTCTTCTCCACTGTTGTCACATAATTGCCAATTAACAATATAACATTAAACCGTATATGAGGAGTGCATATTTGGCTGTAATGTCTTGTAATGTGTGTATTACTACAAATTCAAAGCTGCCCCTATTTTTCTCTGCTCTCCCACTCAAACTGAGCTCAGAAAGTTGTTTAAACATTTAAGTTATTAAGTGCTAAATATAATGGTATGTATTCATTTTTAATCTACGTGCATAATGTGTAGTGCTCAACTGTTTTTGTCTACAAGCAAAAACAGTTTTCTGTAATGTTAATGGGTATTTATGTGCTTTGATTTTGTTTAAGGGGATATGACTCTCACAGCTAAGACTGTCTGAAGATGGTCTCACTAATGACCTCAGTTTTTTTTATCATCTTAGGCTTGAATTATTTTCAGCTTACATCTAAAGCATTCAGGTTGTCAGTAAGGAAATAGGTTAGATGTGTCTGAGCCGGTGTTGCTGTACAAATACTGAACAGAAGCAGTACAGTATCATGTAAGAGCCGTAGATGACAGTATCCCAGCAGTCCCAGTCTTCAGTGTTTCCAGAAAACATTCGTATCTTTTGCTCACAGTTTCCCTTGGGAAGAAACAATCTCACTGAAACAGAGTGAGCATAACTTCCTCCTCCTTATGATCGTCTGTTCTATTATCTCTTGTAGGATATTTAAAGTGTTTTAATGTAGCATTTTCAAACAGCACAGTCTAGTGAGTACTGTTGCTTTAATTGTGTGTTAAATCTCTAAAAACAGCTTTTTGTATCCACATTATCTGAGTAAACATGTTCACTCATGAGTGAGAACACTGTAAACTAAACATGTGAGACGTAAATAGTCGTTTCTCTAATCTTAAGCTGAATCATGGTGTGACATAAGGAGGGTAGCACACAGATCAGCGGGCGTCTGAGGAGAAACAGTTGATGTGCTACATGATCACGGTGCGGTTTTGTCAGAGCATGCCACTGTTGCACTTTCGCACAAACGCAGTGTGTACGCTTGTTTTGTGTTGGCTGTGGCTGTGCAGCAGCTGGAGCTCTAACTACTGTGTCACTGTTTTTAAAACGCAAAGCAGCAGATGTGAGCAGAGGAAGTGACAGAGGTGAGTGGAATGTTGGAGCCATCTTTGAACTGAACACACACGCACAGACCAAGCCTCCTGGTAGTAGTGTCAACAGCTGCTGTCGATTTCTCCATCTCCTCCATCACACATGCTGTGATACCTCATGGAAATGAAATCCTTGCAGACAAACCTGACAGGGACCAAACACTGCAGAAGCTTCCATCCTCCACAGCTCTCCCTCAGCCTGTGAAGTAGGCTGAGGCGCGCGCAGGACAGCGAGGCCATTGTCCACATGTTTATTGGACCTCTTAGCCATCCCAGCAGACCTCATATTGAATTGGCTTGCTCAGTATACGGAAAAGGAAACGTCATGTTCAGCTGTGTCTTTGTCCCTGTTTATCCATACTGCAAATCGTGTTATTTTTCCTTTTTTTAAAGACATCTGACTCATTCCATAAAAGTTGTATATTATGAAAAGCACAGATCCACACTCTGCCAACTAAACCCATCTTTTTTTTTTTTCATCTTTAAATCATATTTCCTTTAGCCTCGCCTACGCTTTTCCTTATCTGTGTCATCTTTGTCATCCATAGCCTTGAAAGTTTTGAAATGAGGTTTTTCTGTAAATTATAGTTTCCTTTCTTCATTCACAGGCAGAGCAGGAACTCAAGATGACCCAGAGCGAGTTCGACCGGCAGGCAGAAATCACCAGACTGCTGTTAGAAGGCGTCAGCAGCACCCATGTATGTAGTAAGGATGTTCCTGGTGACTGATTTCTTAGTTCTTAATTAAACTGACTGACTAGTTAGTCTACAAACACTCAGATATCAAGTTAGGTTTCAGGATCCTTTCATGTACAATGTCTGTCTAAACAAATCCATTTGAAACCATTAACCACATTCTTCAGTAATGAATCCTAGTTTCAGTGCCGGTACACTATGTGGCACCTCATACTGTGCATAAGGAACGTTGCACATTATGAACATTTCACACAGACAATGAAGAAGAAGAAAAAACTGATATTAAACATGATATGAAGCCCAGACCTCGCTCTCTACAGCCATCTCCTCCAGCTTATCTGGGGGGAACACAGAGGCGTTCCCAGGCCAGCTGAGAGATGTGTTTTCTGCAGCGTGTCCTGGTTCTACCCCAGGAGGAAACCACCTCAACTGGCTCCTTTCAATGTAGAGGAGCAGCAACTGTACTCTGAGCCCCTCCCAAATGACTGAGTTCCTCAGCTTATCTCTAAGGCAGAGGCCAGCCACCTTTAGGAGGAAGCTCGTTTCCACCGCTTGTATCATGATCTCATTTATTTGCGTTCAAAATAACTAACAATAATAGGCTTAACAAATATTTATGGTGTTTTTTTTCCTACAACATGTGGAGGCTGCAGCTCCATCTTGTGGAAGACACAACAATTTACCAGCATTGGGCTTCAGTTAAAATGTTAACAATTAGATTACACGACTAGTACATGTGGTACCTACTAGTAAGAATGGCAACGATTAGTCGACGTGTGGCGTACGGCCCTAATGTAGCCCAGCTAACACTGTTACTGTGTTATAGTGCTGCTTTCTGTGCTGTTGCCTGTCTGAAAAATGAAACCAAGTAAATAAAACATTGTTTAACACTGGGAGGACTGCACTCTTGTTTTCCTCTTATTGATGTTTCACTAATGCCGTCTCACCTCTAGGCACACCACCTACGCTGCTTGAATGACTTTGTGGAGGCCGAGACTACTTACTACGCACAGTGTTACCATTACATGGTGGATCTCCAAAAGCAGCTTGGCAGGTGAAATACTACTGCTACGTTTCATTCCTTATGTCAAGAATATATCTTACTCTGCTGTTAGAAAACATGAGGTTTTTGATATCAGCGATGATACGTAGCTGTTCTGAACCACACGACTGGAGCATCTGTGAAAAGTGCACAAGCAATCCTCATCAGTATTTTTCAAACAGAACCTGTGTTTTGTTATTACTCATAATAGTTTTAATGTACTCTGACTGTAAAGAAGATGAGTCATTCTACTCCTTATCATTTTGATGTTATTCACTTTTAGAGCCTGACTCGTCAAACAAAAGTGTTTTAACGATGTTTTTGTCATTTGTGTTTGTTAATATCTAAGTTAGCAAGTCTGAGGAGGGGTTGCAAAAAATTACCTCCCTTTGAACTGTAAAAAAATGAAAGAGTAATGCTGACAAATTTAATTGAGAGAGAGATAACACTGAACTTGAACTCAAACACTCATTGTGGTTCTGGGGTTCCCCAGCAGTCCACAGTTGCTTATCGTCTCCTCCTCCCTCCAGTTTCCCCACATCATTCTCTAACAACAACCAATCGTCAGTGTCGGGCGGGGCCAGCATCTCGGTGCCCACCATACCAATGTCCGCCTCCCTGCCCAGTGTGTCTGCAGGCCGCAGCAGCTCCTCGGCTTCAGGTGGATTCAGTGAATTGCGCAGCTCCAACGGCAGCCGGAAAGCCCGGGTCCTTTATGACTACGATGCTGGCAACAGCAGTGAGCTTTCCCTGCTGGCTGATGAGGTGAGGATGAAATATTCACTGTTCCTTCTCAGTTTAACTTCATGCAAGAATCCAGAAGATTGAGAAGCCTATTTTAGTCATTTTCTTCACGTGTCTTTAACCGCATGGTCCTGTAGCAGTTCCTCTATCATAACCTCTATTCAGCAGAACATAGGCCACTCCTCTTCCTTGCGGTTGAGTAACCATGAAGCAAGTTTACCTTATTTTACATACAGAAAAAACCCCAGTCTGACGCTGCAATTGTGAGCTAACGTTGCAGCCTGAGCCGCCTGAAAATAGCACTATCTATAACAAATGTGCATCTCAGAGAGTGCCTGTAATAGAAAAACAGATGTGATCATTTAATGCAGTTTTGCATTTGTGCTTCCAGGTGATTGTAGTCAGCAGCGTCCCAGGCATGGATTCAGACTGGCTCATGGGCGAGCGAGGCAGCCAGAAAGGCAAAGTGCCAATCACCTACCTGGAGCTGCTTAACTGAGACCCACAGTCCCTTCTCTCTCTCTCTCTCTGCCCCTCTATCTGTCCAGCCCTCAGTAACCAGCTGTGATCTCATATTTATATGCAGGGGCAGGCGTCACTTTCTCCTCCATTCAGCCGTTTAGAATGAGTTTTATTTGCAGGAAGGAGGCGTGCCACTTGTTGCAGACATGAATTGGGATGAATAAAATGGAGAGAAGGGAAAGCAAACTGACCCATCCTCTCATGTGTATGCCATACATTTGTAAAACCTGCTTCCTTGCCTTTTTTTCTCTTTGATGCCATACGACCTGAAACATGTGCCAGAACATCTCCCAAACTGTAACTTTGGAAAAACAAACTTTGTTTACAGCATATATATATATCTCAGATGGTGACCGTCATGTTTTTCCCTTGCATTTTTGTTCTTGTGTGTAAGTAGTGATACAGAGAAGACTTTTAATTTGGTGGAAAAAAAAAAAAAGCACTTCAGTTTGAAGTGATGCTGATCTTCTTAAAGTCTTATTTTATAAATGATCTTGTGATGCAGTAGCAGCTGTTGTGGTTTAGCCTGAATATGAATTGTTTGTAACAGTGTTGTCAGTCAGCTTTACTCACACGGAGCCTCGAGACAACATGTGCCCTCTCACAGTCAGTGCCTTTTTGCAGCTAAACCAGCAGTATTGAGGCTGTCAGATAAGCCTCCTCTACAAGTGTTCAATCCTGATATTTGTACTCGGCTCATGCACAATTTAGGTCGAATATTTATCATCCACAAACAGCGACTGCGTTTGACACATTGGTGATTTTGGTCAGCTTGGTGTTTGATTTTTTTATTTTTATTTAAAGGCCTGAAAGAAAACATTTAACATTTAATCTACCTTTTTTCCATTACTAACATCCCTCATCAGTTTCCCATAAACATGCATTTCAAACTATTATGTAGACAATTTCTCCAAAATATTTTGTTACATTCTGGGAGATTTCAGTATGCTATCCCTCGGCTGCTTTTTTGTTTTGTGCGTGTAACTGATAAGATGACACAGTTGTAAAAAGAAGAAAAAACCCCAATAAGGTGCATAAAATAAAGTGTTTAGAGACTGGATGCGTGTAAATTTGCTCCCCTCACTCTCGAGTGTTCATGTTCACTGATGGAACCACCAGAGGGCAGGACAAGCAGGGAACACACACAGTCTCGAATCAGCTGGATGATACATTTGTAGCAACTGCTTCCTTCTTTTATGTGCAGAAGAACATACTAAACAGATTTTTGTTGAAGTAAAAATTTCAGACATCGGAAGACTTATTTCAAAAGCGTTCTTTGGTTTGAACACGTGCTACCGCAACAGTATTTACAAGGCAGTTACTGGGCCACAACTGGGAGGAGAGGTTGAACCCGAGGACTAAAATAAATTCATAATGTCCACTATACTTTAGAGCCAGCTGCTTCGATCACTGCAGAGATTTTGTTAATGTAAAACTGACCCCACTGATTCTCAGGCTACTTTAATTTGAAAATATAGCATACTATCTTTACCCCGGTGTTTGGGCTCTCTCCTGACCTATTCTCCGGTGACTTCCACATCTCCCAGAAGAGCCTCATGCTGCAGCGCTAGCAGCTGTGGACCACAAACCTAGCTACAAATCCCCAGATAATAACTGACCCAGCTGAACATAATATCTTTATCTGAAGATGATTTAAAGGGTTAGCTAAATCCTCTTGGTCTGTGTACATTAATCTGTGTAGTAGTTTTTGCCTTTTTTGACCTTAACATGTCACAGTAATTTCATTAAATGAGCCTGTAAAGTTGTCTCTAGCTTCTGTTAGCCAGATAATCAAGAAAGCTCTTTTCTAGCTCAACAGTAAGTCCAGCACAAAGGGGCCTCATCCTGGCCTTTCAGAGGAGCAGGAAGGGTTAAGAGGAAGTGGAATTTTGCAAACTGCCTGTTGACTAAGAAGTTGCCTCAACATTAATATACACAGGGCAATATTTTCATTTTCCAGCATGCACTCATCAGCGAAACTTCAGACATTAACTGCTTCCCTTTGGCCTCAGCAGCCTTCAGTAGCACTTACCGAAAGGGTTTTTTGAGTGTATTGTTAACACGAATTACTTAAACGGTGAAAGAGAAAATCTTCTGACAGTAAGAATAAGATCCGTTGAATCATGTGAACTCTGAAATGAAGCAGCAGCCTGACAGTGACTCACTGGCCCCAGTAAAACCACAGCAGTTACATTAACTCGTCGGTTGCGCAGCGCTCAGTGCTCCCTAACTCTGCATTTATGTTTTTCCAGATCTTTCACAATTCATATTGTTGCCTTTCTAAAAATAACCCACACACTTCATGCAGATGATCAGATGAGTGATAGCCTGTCAGAGAAGAGGCATTTCCTCTTTCATCCGTCCTTATTGACTTTCAGATGCTGCACTAAAAGCACTTGTTAACATCTGCCATTTCAGCAGTGGATCTCAGCTTGACATCAGACGGTTTCATCTTTTTGACAGATGCCTCGACAATATCCTGTATAGGGGCAACAATGTTTTTCGAAGTGCAAAAAGTCACGTATTTGTCCGTTTTTATTGGCAAAGGATGGCGCAGGAAAAATCAGGGTGAAAATGTGAAGTGTGATAACCTGAAATGTACCGATGCTCATCTGGTACATCTGCTGAATAAGCCAGTTCAGATATGGCAACGTCTTGGCCACATGTTTTTGCCACACAGCAGCTAAATTATACAGATTAGAAGGGCAAGTCAAGTGCACGAACCTTCATGAGATCTCTCCTGGATGTGTCAGAGCAAAAATATGTACAAAGGTTATATCTTATCTACTTTTGCTGCTGACGTTTATGACTTTGAGTGACAATAGCTGCAGATACTGAATAGATTACAGACAAATGTGACGCAAATTTTTGTTTTCTGGATAAAATGGAAATGTCTGTGGTGATTCTTAAAGGTTTCTTCTGGTGCCACACCAGGTCAAATGCTCATTGTTTTAATTAACCAAAGACCTGAAAACAACCTTACTGTCAGTTGCCAAGGAAGTCTTGCCACTCGGGGCATCCTGGTAATTTCTCTGGGCATTACCTTTGAAACCTGTATATAAATGAAATGTGATAGAGACATAACTGTAATTGGTCACGAGTTAATAAAATGGTATACAAATGGTAAACTAGCTAAAAGAAAGCTTCTAACACACATCCGTCCTCTAATGGATACATCAGGGGTTGTAGAATTGATAAACTGCAACAGTAACTCAACTAATCACTCCTTACTTGTATGAAGAAGAACTTATCTGAAAGCACAACACGGTGAACCTCGAAGCAGATGGGTTACACAAGCAGATGACCCCAGCTGGTGCTGCTCTGCTGAGAACAGAAAACAGAGGCTACAATTCTCGCAAAATTAGAAAACAAAAGACTGGAAAAATGTTGCCTGGTCTGTTGAGACGTACAGATAGTAGGTTTGGAATTGCTGTAAACAACATGTAAGCATAGATCATCATCTTGCTTGGTATCACTTTTTCCTGCACTTTGTTGAATCTGTGCAATAAAGCCTTGAGGCAAAAGGAGGTGCAACCCCGTACTGCCAAGGCGTACCTAATAAAGAGGCAGATAATTTTCTATTTGAATGTTGATTGCTGGTTCAGCCTTTGGAGAGAGAGACAGACAAATCCCACCTTGGTGCCTATCGATTCCTATTGATGATGCAATTATGGGACATTTTACATTACCTTTGCCCAACACAGATAAGTGTTAAAAGTATTAAGTATTAGAGTTTTGTATCAACTATTGTATCAAGCTGTATCAAGTTCAGATTAAGAGTACAAAAAGTGGTAAAAGGCAATTAAAGCAGCAGTTATAGGGAAGGAAATTTTGATGGGGCACATTGAATTATTCATCTGGGAAGACTGATCTATATGACTTTGGCTTAAATTCTGTTTGTACTGTTTACTTACTCAACTTATCTGTGACATTTGAATTGTTTCATGATTTGTGTGGCAGTTAACAACTGGAAAGAACTGCTTGGTTTTGTTTTTTTGTAACTTTTTTTGCAGTGTTATTTCTGCAACAACTCAACAACAATGAAGAATATCAAAGGATTATTTGATATTCCCTCTCTTATAATAGTTTCTCTGCTTCTGTTGGCCTGCTAAATCTAAAAAACAAAACCCCCAAATCTATATGCATACTATATGTTTAGCACACTTGCTAAAAGCGCGCCAAACATGCTAAAGTCAGCTTGCTATTTGTTTAGCATGCTAAACAGGCTAAAGATGTGAAGCCTTTAACTCAAAATGCTATACCTATATGTGACAGTGTGCACACCTGCATTAGACCAATCCAGTCACATGTCACTTCTCTTTTCACATTTCCATTGATTAATCTGCAAGAAACTATGACTATGAGAGAAGAAATAAACACACGGCACTTTCACTAATTCACACTTGCTTGCCCGTGTGACGTACATTTGGCAACTTACCTCGACTATGGACCCCATAACCACAGCTGAGCTGTTTTGCAAAGAAAATGCAGCTGCATGAATGCGTGTTTGGCAGCTTTGTAGTATGGTACATGCCTGTGGCTAACCTGATTTCATATACTGTATATGTGGTCTGAACATGTCTTAGAAAACTGAGTCTAGCTGCGTTTGTGAATGCCCCCTTTAACCCCCTTTTTTTTCCTGTCCTTTAACTTTTAAACTGTTATAGCTGAGTAATCAAATAAAGTTCCTCTTGGTCAGCAATCTGCAACCAGTGCCAAAGTGCCTTCCTCAAATGTATTTTTCAGTGTAATCCAGCCCTTAAGCCATTTTGTCAGCCCAGTTTAACCACTTCATCATGGAAGCAGGAAGGTCTACTTCCTGCTTCCATAGAGGTGATACATCACCGCTATACGGGAAATATATAGGTTTAATTGGCATCCCTAAAGTATCTGTCAGTTTTGAGTTCCAGATACCTGTGGAAATTAGTTTGGAAATCCAAGACAAGTCGTTGTTCCCAACCATTATCTGTGACCTAATGACATTCAAATGAAAAGCCTTCGAGTAATGAATCTCTCATCAACGACTTCAGTTCTTAAAGCTTTGCATATTTTAAACCAGTTTTCATCAATTCAAATGAACAACAAAGGAAATAAAAACTTCATTCAGTTTCTCTGCAACTGATTTACTGGCAACTTCATATCGTAGAAGATATGTCAATATTAATAACATTTCGAGGCTTTGACAAGGCTTTACTCTGGTTTCTCTTCTTACGTTCCAACCACCATGACCCTGAGCATCACCACAGCGGTATTTTGGTTACTTTCTGGTTAGGCCTCCAGCACGCTGTACAGCTACACAGTAATCTACCAGCCTTCCCACTCCTACGCCCCTGAGTACTTACATAAAACTCGAAGAAAATGCGTTAAATGCATTGCACGTATATATATAGATATGTGTGAATGTGCGTGTGTCTGTGAAGGCGTATGCATGTTTGTGTGTTTGTGTGCACCCATTTGTACATGTGTGTGTTTGTTCGTGTGTGTACGTGCTCCCAGCACAGTAAACTGAATCAGTCGTGTGAATCAATCATTTTTGGGGGGGTCCAAATCATTTCCTGACTTACTGGAATTTCACACTGATGATGCTTCTTGGTCTCACTGATAGGAAGGAAACCTCAAACCCCTCCTCTTTGAGATACAAAACTGGGCAGTTGCTGCACATCTTAGCAAAACAGGAAATTTCATGTTTCCTCTGCTGCTTATAGCAACAGCTTGCATCACAGTACTTCTGCATATCTTCACATACAAACACACATACACATATACGCCCACACACGCTCACACACTCACCAAGTCAAGTCCCAGAGCGCAGCCACATTTTTTACATTGGGTTATCAGGATGAGGGCCTTGTTTTAAACCACACTTCACTGAACCGAGCAATCTAAAAAAAACAACAACTGACCTTTTTCTTTTTTAGATACTTCATATACTCACACACCTTTTCGGTAAATGTATTTATTTCAGATATGTATTCGGCTACATTTCTAAATAATGTACTGGACAAAATACAGTTATGGTGACATCAGTAAGACGTTGGCTTCAAACACTTCTTTTTGA